TCCCTTCCATGTTTCTTCTCCTTGTATCTATTCTGGGGTATATAAGTTTGGTAACCTTATATAATCACCTACTATTAGATGGGATAACTTTGGGGCTCGGTGGGTAACTTAGGGACAACGGGTAAAATTTAGTTTGTGGTAATTCCGTGATGGATACACTGTTGTTTCAGGCAGCATGGACAGTGCATATTCTGTGCTACTATCTTACTGCACACTACTCTCAATGTACAAACGAAAGTTTCATGAAAACTTGAATTTTGAAAAAGCAATGGAAATAAATAAAACCTAACTGCACAACGTTTGTAGTGAACTGGGATTCTCAAACTAACACAAGGTAGTAGCCCAGTACATGCCTACACAAAGCATGTTTTTGCAGACTGAACCAACACAGTTAATCCACCACGGAATGAACACAAACTAAATTTGACCCGCTGTCCCAAAGTTACCCCATCTTATGGTAATTAATTAATCAGTTAATTATCAATTAATCACTCTTCTCTTGTAAGTAGCCCCTAAGTATGTTGTTCTTATATTTTTTTTATCTTTATTTGTTTCCAGGAAAGAACCCCATACAAATTAGAGTCTGTCTTTGTATAACAAACATTATTACTCTTATGGTATTACAAGTATTTTTCTTTTTCCATTTATATACTACATTTCAAATATTACTAAAAGAATGACATAAAAAACGTATTTGGTAAAAATTCAGACAGTTAAAATAATGCCAATTATTAACAATTATATAAAATCTAAAACTCCCTTCAAAACATATACACAATATCAATAAAAATAATAAATACATTTTATTTTTAAATTTAAATTATAAACTATGTTTTAAAATTCAATTAAAAGATTAATCACATGAACAAAGAAAACAAACAAATAATATTCAAAGGACAATATTCCAGATTACCCCACCAATTCTGTGTAATTAGATATATTAGAAATGAAAAAATATAATCTTCTCATATCCTCTATACTGGTTGGCTCAAATATTTTGATCCCATTTTTTACTCTGGTAAATTCTTACTCTTAAACTATTGTATATTGGGCATTTAAATAATACGTGATAAAGTGTCTCTTTTTCTATAGTATTACACATTTTGCACTCAAATTGTAAAGTGAATTTTACAATTTTATTATCAACTGAAATCTTGATCATGTATTTTCCTGAGAGGTGTATCTGCATTAATAATCTGGTATATTTGAAGTTAGTTCACATCAACAAATACTAGAAGATCTGACCATTGTTAAAAAAAAAAAAAAATTCAAATGTTCACTATAAGCTGAACTATGCAATGTTTTCTTGTTACCCTTCTGCAAATGTTTATATTTATTTAATGTTGTTCTTATATTCTAAGCACATTTTTTTTATTTTAAGGGTTTCTTTTACTATTATTTTAGTGGAATTAATGTTAGGAGGAATATCTGCTTTGTTCATCTCCAATCCTGCACTAGCCAGTATGTCAGCCTTGTCACATTGTCTAATTATATGTGTGACCTTTGCGGCTCTAGCTAAAACAGAGTGCAGTCCTATGTGATGGAAAGGGACACTTTTCTGGACAGAATATAACACCGATTCACATTATCATACAGCTAGATCCTTTTCCACTTTCTCTTTCTCTTTTGGCTTCTCAGTGTACAGGAGCCTCTAACAACCGGAATTATTCCTCTCAGTTTTGTGCCTGCCTCTTTATTCTCCTTTATGTGCCTTCCTCTTTATTCTGCCTCTTTATTAATAGTTTTTAATTCTTTTTCAATGCCCAATCAGGTTATATATTCATTGTATGATATCCTGGGTCCGCTTCTGGATCTTTTACCAGTCGTTCGTACTTCCATTATTTTTCTTAGGTCTTGGTTCTTGTGCATTCTGCATAAATGTCCGAACTACTTTAGTTGATTTTTATGGAAGGTGGTTTTTAATGAGGATACGGCTAACTGCTTACTTATCATTTTGTTTCCAATCAGATACCAGAGCCTGCAGAATAACAGCTATAAAGAAATGTAACTTGACCTGATCAGTGTTCTTTCTCTTGTCTAGTATAATGTCGCATATTTTATTGTAGATTTTATTGAGTTGGCAAATAAGTCCTTTCAGTTTTTCAGAGAGAAATAAAACTCAATGTATTATAGACATAAAAGTTATTTTAATCTACAATATATTGACCATTATTTCATATGACTTTTCCCATCTTTCCACTAACTGCATAATGCCATGTTCATAGAATGTCTGGAGTTTGTTGTTAAAAAAGTGGTCCAAGTGGTTTTTGATGTCCTCTTCCTTTTGGAATTTCTTTCCATTCATGGAGTCTGCAGAGACCGGAATAAGTGATAGTCACTTGGAGCTAGGCCTAGTGAATAGGAAGGGTGTGGCATAAGATCCCATCCAAGGCTCAATAATTTATTAGGAGTGACCAATGAGGTGTGGGGCCTAACGTTGTCTTGTTGGAACACAACACCCTTACGATTTGCCAGTTCTGGTTGTTTATTTTTAATGATTGATCCAATTTTGTTAATTGTGAGCAAAATAGAGTTGAATAAATTGTTTGTCCTGATGGTAATAACTCATAAAAAATAGCACCCTTGAAATCCAACCATATGGAAAGCATTATCTTCTTTGGATGAAATCCGGGTTCTGACATTCTTCTAGAAGCCTCACTAATAGGCCCCCAAGATTTTCTATGAACCACATTATTGTAAAATATCCATTTTTCATCTCCTGTTAGAAATATTTTGAAAAATGGGTCGTTTTATTGCCATTTCTGTAGTGAATCACAAAGAGAAATGCGTGTTGCTAAGTTAACTTCAGTTAGAGAGTAAGGTACACAAACATTAAGCCTGGAAATATAGCCGAGCTTGTGCAAATGGTTTTCTACCCTTGTGTGCAACACATTTAGGACCATAGCATTCTCTTGCTGTGTTTGGGTGTTTTTTTGATCAACAATGGCATTAACATTGCTCGTTTCAATTTCATGTGGGCGACCAGACCATTGAGCATCATTGATATCAAAATTTTCTGAATGAAATTTGGCAAACCAATTTTGACAGGTGCGTTCGGTTAAGGCATCATTCCCATAAACACTGCAAAATTTTCTGTGAGCTTCTGCAGCATGCTGACCTTTTTTAAAATAATACAACAAAGTATGCTGATAATGAATGATAAAATATTTTCTTCCATATTCACAGTACAATAGCAAACACAATACTAAGCTAGTTTCAACATCAGTTAATAGATATAGTTGTTGACATATTATAAACAGGATAAACAACCACTTTAGGGATTAATTGATCAGATAAGAAGTGTATCATAGTGACATAAAAATAAACAGAAAAACCGAAAGGACTTATTTGCCAAGCCAATATTTGTTTTTGATATTCTGCTTGAAATGCAATATTCTTTCTCTTTTTGTTGGTAGTGTTGCTATCTACTGTACCTAAATGTGGGGATTCATCACATTCTCTATCTTCCTAACTATGACTATAACTCATGTAACCTATAACTCACATCTTCTTTCCTAGAAATTACCACAATTCTACATTTGATGTTTTTTTTGTTTAACATAAGGATTGTAACAAGAGTTTGTAAATGCGAGACACCAAGACACAGATGTATATCTGTGAGAGAGTAAGATGAAGCCCCTTCAACTCAGTATACCAACAAAAAACATGATGAAAATGCCTGAGAATCCCAAAATTGAATTTTATGAAAAAATTCATAATTCTCATCTATAGACCAGCAAATAGCCCTCCATACACCAAGTGGCCGTAATTTAAGTGGAGTAAAAAAAGAGGGCTAATAGTAGCTACTAGAAATGACAGCAATTTAGAAATTGTTTGGGGATAATTACGGATTTTTGTTACCAATGGAAAATATGTTTATTGCTGATGTGCTGATTAAAGGTAACTTCGAGGTTTATTATTTACTTCCGTGGTTTAGCAGCCCTTGTAAGGCCTTAGCCTCCTCAACAATACCTCTCCAATCCTCTCTATCAGCAGCCCAGCTTCTCCTTTCTCCAGTTCCCATCCTACTCATGATCAATTCATCACAGTCTGGGCCTTCCTCTCTTTTTGTCTCCTGATTTGCTATATAATTTTCGGGTACCTATCTTCTTCCATTTTTTTTATGTGCTCAATCCATCGTATACGGCTTGATTTGACATAAATGACTATGTCTGGTTCATTTTATAGTTCTTGAAGTTCTCTATTATTTCTTATTTTCCATTGGCCACCTATACATACTGCCCCAAAGATCTGCTGAAGGACCTTCCTTTTCCAGATCCAGAGGATCCTATCACATTCTTGGATCAGGATCCACGTTTCACTTGTGTAAGTCACAATTGGTCTCAAGATTGTTTTATATATAATTAGCTCTACTTTCCATGATCTGTTCCGAAACTGCAGTGTTTTTTTAAATGCAAAAATACATCGGTTGCCTGCTGAGATTTTAGCTTCTATTTCCATTGTTATTTCATTTTTTCCATTGCTAAAGCACCTAGCACCTAGGTATTTGAATCCGCCAACTTTTTAAATATTTGTTGAAGCAGTTGCATGTCATTCTATCCTTCCTTTCTCATTTTTTGTGGAAATCATATATTAGGATTCTCCATATTTATTTTAAGACCCAACTTTTTTCCATTATCTTAAAATTCCTGTAAAGCTGGGGAGAGTGCAACTTTTGATATTTCTGTTTTAGCTCCAGAGTACAATTGTGCTGCTCCAATGCATGACTTCAATTTTCCCATCTAATTTTTTGTGGTTCCGTAGATTCACTTTTTTTTTCAGTTTCTTGATAATTAGTCTTCAAACCACCAAATCTTTCGCTATCAGTTTCTATACATCCAATCCTGGAGATAAGTTTTCCATTGTTTCAGACCACACTATTTAGTCCTAACCAAGGCATTACTCCTATCAGTTCTTTCCCATCATAATCTTTTTTTGCCTGGATTTATATTTATTTAACTTTTGAGATACAATCGTAAAAATCTTTTATTTTGTTTCAGGGCATTGTTATTATTCGGCTGGATAACAAAGTCCTTAGAGGAAAGGAGCAGATATAAGGTAACTAGGGTCGTATTAATGTAATAGAGATGTACTTCTACATTCTTTCTTCTACTTTAGTCAATGCATTATCAAAAATCTGAAAAAAAACAGCATAGATCCAGAAATGTTTTGTCAACCAAAAGTGTAAGAGATCCTGATGATCACATCTCATTGGAAGTAGTTCATACTGTTATCTTTTTAAGGGGTCTATTTGTTTTATTTTCAGCAATTTTCAAGTATGCCTCACGAGTTACTAACACTGAGATGGAAAAAGCCTCATACGTTTTCATGGAGCTATATTTATCCCATCTTTAAAAGTAGAATCTGTATATGGTTCTAGCTTTTACATGCGATTAATATTTTTATAACAATATTTTCTGTTGGTGCATTTACAATAAAAAAAAAAAAATAAGTTCAACTACCCTACTATTTGTTCTTAAGTGTACACTATAGTGTAGAATGATTATTATGAGTAATAATTTAGAATATTATCATTTGCTATAGTTTAATTACCTGATTAATTGTCATTTTTGAAGATTTTAATGTAATTAAAAAATGAAAAAATATAACATTGAGTTGGATGCTGAGAAGAATCTAAAAGTTGTTTAGAAAACATCTATGTAACATGGACCAATAATATTCTGTTTTATTATCATTTATTGATTTGTATTTTAAAAAATAAATCTAAAGTTTCTTTTGAAGAGAAGGATGGTTGGAGTGATCAGTCAAAATAATATGTTAAATTATATTTATTTTTGCCAACGTTTCAGCCCGAAGTTCAGGCTTTCATCGGGGCTAAGAAAAGAACCTGATAACAATAGGTGTATGAAACTATAAACATGGAATAATAAAGAATTAAAATTAAAAAAGGTGAAAGGTATAGACTAAAAAATGTAGGTAGAAAAGTAAAATGAAGTAGATAGAGTGAACATTAAAGTAAAATAAAGTAGGTAGAATAATAATAGTAACAGAGAACTAAGAAATAAATAATAATAACGGTAACAAAGCACGGACTAATGACATAATCAAGATAAGGTAACATAAGAAATGAAAAATGGTAATCTTAGAATAAAATGTAAAACAGAGAAAAGAAATATGAATTGATATAAGAAATAATAGATATAAATAGAAATTTAAGATATTGTAAAACCTATCAAAAATACTGACTAGGTATAAGTAAATAAAAAGTTAAAATAATGTAAAAAAGATTAATGAGAAAATGTATCAATATATACAACATAGAGATGGGGATATGGAAAATAGAGTGATGGGAAGGATGAAGAAAAGGAGAAAACTAAGATAAGAAAAATAAATGAACCTGTTCTGCCAACAAGCATAGACAGAGGGAGGAGAGCCTATTGTAGCAAGAGGGAGGGGAGCCAAGCAGATGATGCTATCAGCAACGGCTAACCGAAAAATGTGAACTAAAGCACAGGAACGTATATGATGGACGAGGGGTTTATTATAGATAAATTCTATGAGTTCAAAAGTTTAATTGAAAGAGGATGAAAGTAATTTGGATATAGTATAAAACAGAGATAATAAATATTAAATAATAATGGAGTATTGCTGAAATAAACTCAAAACGTGAGATTAAAGAAAACGAAAAAGAATTAAAATAAAGAGGCAGTATACTGTAATGTAGTATATATTAGGGATAATATAGTATAAAATTATAATGTAGGATAAATTAAGGAGATAGTATAATGCAAAGATAATAAATGTATAGTAATAATGGAGAATACCTGATCTGTGTGAAACATGAGATTAAAGAAAACAAAATTGAATTTCTTTATTGAGATTAAAGAAAAAGTACAAGAAAACTGAAGGTTGAACAGAAATGAGTAAATCTATGTATAAGGCAATAAAGGAGATGGTGTAATGTAGAGGTAATAAACATTATATAATAGTGGAGTATTAATGATCTATGTGGAAAACATGATGACAGAAAACTAAAAAGAATTAAAAATGAAGAGGAATTATAATGTGATATAGTATAGAAATAAGGATAAATATAGTGTAATAATATAAAATAGAATAAATTAAGAAGATAGTATAATGCAGAGATAACAAATATTAAATAATAATGTAGTATAACTGATCTATGTGAAATGCAAGATAAAGCTAACGAAAAGGAATAAATTCAATAGGAACAAAAAGGAACTTTTTATTCTGTTATTTTTAACTTTTTTTCTATTATGCGTAGTCATTATTTTTGATAGATTTTACAATATCTTAATTTTCTATTTATATCTATTATTTCCTTATATAACTTCATATTTCTTTTCTCTGTTTTATACTTTATTCCAAGATTACCATTTTTCATTTCTTTGTTACTGTTATTATTATTTATTTCTTAGTTCTCTCTTACTGTTATTATTCTACCTACTTTATTTTACTTTAATGTTCACTCTATCTGCTTCATTTTTGTTGTCTGGTTCTTTTCTTAGCCCCGATGAAGGTCTGAACTTCTGGCCGAAACGTCAGCGAATGTGAAAATAAATACAATTATTTATTTTTACTATTTTATTTTGACCCCAACCATCCTTCTCTTCAATTATTCACTACAGTCAACCATCAACCCACAATTAAAGTTTTTTAAATTTAATTTTAGGTTGTTGGCCAACTGTTTTGTATGACTTATTGTGTTACTTCAGGCCAGCAGCATGAAGAACCTTGTGGGTGGATAGGCCAGGATGTTACTCTAAAGGCATGGGAAGCCTTCCACTCTTCATAACTCCAGACAGCTGCCTTGTCAGATAGACACCATATTGAATTGTTTTTTAAAATATTTTAATTTGTTTTACATTGTTTGAATCATTGTAAATTATCATAGTTATGTTGATTGAGGCAAACTCTTTGTATATGGGGTTTCCTCCATATCTAATAAATAAATAAATAAATAACAATAATAATAATAAAGAGTCTTTGAATTTTATGTAGAAGTTAATTAGGATGAGATAAATAACAGAACACCTAAAATCTTTAGGTGAGGAATAAGCACAAGAGAGGGACTAATAGAATATGATATCCATTATTACCTGACCTGGTAAGAACATACTCTTATCTATCATTGTGACAAGACAACTGAATAAGTAGATATCTTGTAAAAAAATCTTTCAGTGAAAAAGTCATCTATGTATAGAAAGGACTTTTATATTTCCTGGTAGTTCATTGATATGATTTATGAAAATGAAAAATAAAATTTGTGAGAGAACTCCTTGTTCCCAGGATTCAATATCTTTCCTGGTTGGACCAGTAAATGTGCTACAATATGGCTCAGGGCCAATTAGCATTGTTTCTGAGCCCTTCCTTACCAACTTATCAGCTATTTCATTGCTTTCTATTACTTCATATTCAGAGGTCCAAATTAGGGTATTATGTTGCCCCGTGTTAATTTCTTTAAGATATAGAAACAATTCCAGGCTAACCATGGTGTGAATATGTAATAATTTAAAGCCTTTAGTGCTGCCTGGCTGTCTGATTCTTTTTCCTTTAGGATGGAATTTCCTCAAATTTAAATGGTCTAAAACAGGTATTTCTATATTGTGAATTTCAGTTGGGAGACCATTGGGTATGATTACATAGCAATGGTTTTTCTACAGTTAGATCCTAATATTTCTGTCCCTGCGTTTTCTTCTTTTAATGAACTATCAGTATAACAAACCAATGCTCAAATTTCAGACATCTTTCTTTCCATATCTTCTTATCCGATATAATAATTTTGATATTTTTCTCAAAGCCAAGTTTTTTTTTCTAAATAATCGTTTATTCATTGTTTTCCCTTTAGTTAATTAAGAATTTTTAATACCCTTTTTAGTCTCTTGGTTTATAATTCCATATGAGCTGTAATCTCATTGCATTTACTAAAGGCTCTTTCCGAATCCAAATGAGTAATGGAGTTAAGTTCAGCTTAACATCCATGGCTGCTTTGGAGCATGTTCTAATTGTTTTAGTTATTTCTAAGCAAGCTATCCTCAGAACTTTTTTCAGCCTCATTTCTCTCTTTCCTTTATTTTTGTCTACCCAGTGATTGGTGGATAGGTTATCATAGTTCAAACAACTCCAGTATTTAACAATTCCAGAATTTTGAGTTTTCACTTTATTTTTTTCAAATTAACTTTGGTTAGTCAATAGTGAAGTATGAAATTTTTCTATGATCCTGTTTATTTGGAAATTCCAATTGAGTTTTTGATCTAGGATTACTCCATGACCTTTAACCTCATTTGATATGCTAATATGTTTTCCTTCCAGTGAAAGGGTTCTATATTTAGCTTCCTTTTCTCAGATAAGGGTACAATAATGGTCTTGTTTTGATTGATGCTTAGTCTTTATTAATGGTATCATTTTCATGTAATTATTTAGGCTTTTTTCATTTGTTCCATTAATATTGTTTTATGTTTGCTTCTTATAGCTAGGTCTTCAGTTTACTCTATAATATCTAAACTTTCGCTGTTTAGTTTGTTTAGGAGACTATAAACTACAATGGTCCACAGAAGACAGTGAAAGACCCCTTTTGTCGCTTTCATTTTGACCTTTGTTTCTCTTATTTGAAACTTTTTTTTTTCTTTTTTCTTATGCCATAGTCATTGGTCATTCAACCATCCTACATCTTGCTGCCCAGTATAAGTTTGATTTTTTTATATAATGATTCACATATGTTTTATTTCTTATGTCCGTCAAAGTAGGACATTTGTCTAAGTGGTCACCATCCATTTTTGCTTGTTCACATAATTTACACCTAGGATCCTCAGCCACGCCTATCTTGTGGAGATGACTTTGTAGATAGTCGTGACCAGTGGTCAGGTGGAAGCAGGCTACTGCATCTCTTCTTGGTGGATCTGCTGGGATTGGGTTTTCCACCAAACATCCCTAACGCCTCCCTTCCACATTGTCTTTGTGCATATTTTTTGTATCCTCCTTCACTATCATCCTCACCATTCATCGAATTGAATCGCAAGATTTTGGATGGACTGTTTGAGGCAATTCTGCTCCTCTCCTGGCAAGACTATCCGCTTCCTCATTTCCTGGAATACTGCAATGGCTCACAATCCACTGTAGGACCACATTGGTGCCTCGGAGTGTTAGATCGTATAGAAGGGATTTGCACTCCAAGATAGCACTCGACAGACATTTATTAATGTCAGTAATAGCGAGGATTGCTGCTTGGGAGTCGACAAAGAGAACAGCGCTCTGAACTTGCCTCTTGATAGTGTTCTTTGGGCAATGAGGATCGCTGCTATCTCACCGTCAAAATTTGTACCATCCTCACCCACCACAGCACTGAACTGAAACTCTCTCAAGTGAACTCCTCCCCCAGCATTTTTAACGGCTGATTCAGCTGATCCATCGTTGTAAATGTGAAGCCAATCCTGAGGAGGGTACTTTTGAGCTATAGTTTCTAGTTTCTTATTTGAAACTGTTATGCTTCTATTTATCAATATTTCTTTGATCCCAGAGATGGTAGTGGAACTAGCTCTTGTTCTCCTCATAATGTTTTCTATGGGATCATGTGGGGTATCTTCAAAAGCAGCCCCTATATCCTTAAATAAAGTTAGTGTGATTACTTTATTATTTATTCAATTTTCTATCCTTTAAACAATGTTGATATTTTTTACTTTTCAGCTTGGTACACAAATCAATATGGATTTATTGGTGTGTTTTTATTAATAAATCTCTTATTTTTTTGTTATTATTTGATCAGGAAGAACTGAAAGAATAAAAATTTCTTTGAAGTATAAAATATATATATCATCTAAGCATTTAATAATGTCCTCTATTTTTTCTAATTTAATTGGTAATATATTTAAAATTATTATGATTGTTTTCTTCTGCAGTATGTTGATGGATAACATATTTCCACAACATGATACAGCTTTCTTAGATGAATACTTATCTGATTCACCTACAAATATGGCTGTATTAATGAATATTGTGAAGTGAAAATGATTTTAGATTTTTTTTTTCTTTTGGTTGATATACCATATATCTTTTTTTATTGTTTTATGTAAATATATATAATATCTGAACATTATTGTTTTATTTCTTTTATCCTATTCCTAGTGTGCACAACCACATATATCATCAGTAAGTACATGAAATAGTCTTTTCTGTTTTTTACTAAAGGTATATAATAAACAGGGTTTAAACTAAATCAATAATGTAGATAAAAAAAATAAAATTGTAAATATGTATGTACTTTGTGAATACTTTTTAATAATAAAGTTTTACGGTAATAAGATATACTGATGGAAGCTTATATATTACAGTAACTTCAGCAATTCTTTCTAGCCAATATTATCATGGCATTTATATATCAGCAGTCCTTGAATTGCTAATTCAGATCTTTTATCTCCTTCTTTCTGGAAATAGAACTTCAGGTTCAAGTACAGACTGATCAGTATATTTTATATACGCTTTTTGGTAGTATATCAACCTGACATTTATTTCACTACATGCTCTTTTAACCCTATCTTCTCTCTCTTTCCTTCTCCATACAAGATCAGGATGCTCATCCGTCCGCTAGTACTCCTACATACTAAGTCTGGTGGCTCATCCCTTCGTTAGTATTTCTTCCTCCCATAAAGTCTGGAGGCTCATCTTTTCGTTTCGGGTGTCTATCCTGTGATGCCTTAAGGTCATCCCTTAGCTCGCAGACCGAGAGTGATTTGGACGCTCATCCTCCTGAAATTTAGGGCGGGCGCAAGTTGAGACGCAGCTTGGTGAACGGATTTCAAAAAGGAAACAAGATTAAATAAAGAAAATTGGAATTAAATCGACAGTGAGGAGTGATTCTGGTGGTCCTAACTACGGACTTTGTGTTGTTAATTTAACATTTTCAAATTGATGGGATTGCTGATTTTTTTATCGACCTATAGCAAAGTTCCGAGGCTGATTTCGATGATGTGGAAGACTGGACGATGAATTATTAATTTATTGCTCTATACAAAAATAAAAAAAAGTAGTAAACGAAAGATGCTCCGATAATTCGTCCTAAAATAACAATTTTTTTATAATAAATGTAGAAATTATTATATAGTAACCAGACAGTTCTATGAATTCATTTAGAAATTTATAGTTGCTGAAGGTTGTAGTCCGTCCTGCTATATCGGATGTGAAGCCAATTTTGCTGTATTTTTGAGGTGAAAAATTATTCATTTACTGTAAATAACTAGAAAGTAACACCGTTTATTTATTTATTGTGCCAGAATAAATGATTAATATATGAACTTACAAGTTGTTTGACCGATTTCTCTGGCAATTTTTTTCCAAATCTGCGATTTCAATGTTACTTTTAAATAGTCATCATGTGAAGTGAACAATTTTTTTTTCTCCTTCTAAGTACTTCAATTAATTTTCCTCTATCATTTATTTCATTTGCGAGCCTTAGTTTTGATTCACTTGAGAAAAACCGTGGCAGACACAAATATCTGCAGTTCACGCAGGATGAGTTTGATCCAGTGTGAGCTCACCCTGCTGCCCTACGTTCGCTGTTCCATTCTATTTTACGTTTCACAGAATCTCGCCTGGAATCAAATATGCTCACCAAGCTGCGGCTCAACTTGCGCACGGCCTTAAGGTCATCCTGCCTTAGCATTTCCCTCATCAACTGAGCAATTTTTCCTTAATTGAACAAACTCTGTCGAAGATTTCTGTTCTCTCTATTTATCTACCTCGACAAGGTAAAATTACTAATTTGGATTCCGCACATCTCACTCCACTATTCAGCAATGTAATCGTGTGGTAGACGGTGTCTCCTCTGCATTGAAGCGCGGAATATACTGCACGGGAGTCTTTCTGGAAGTTGAACAGGCGTTTAATAGGGTCTGGCACCCGGGACTGATGTACGAACTCTGTCAATTCCTACCACCTACATATTTCCTTATTATCCGTTCCTGCCTTACTGATAGATGCTTTAAAGTAAATCACATCAACTCTTATTCATCCCTTTTTTTCCAGTCTCCTGGTGTTCCTTAAGGTAGTATCTTTGGTCCTATCTTTTACACAGTTTATATAGCTGACATCCCAACCCATCCTGTCACTGTCATCACCACATATGCTGATGCCACATGTATCCTATCTGTTAATAATGATCCGTCAACTGCATCCCAAACTCCCCAATCACATATCACAAACCTTGAAGAATGGTGTAAAAACAGGAGAATTAAAATAAATTCCATCAAATTACCTTTACCCTGCATCGCAAACCTATGACCTCCTGTCCTACAGCAACCCTTAACAATTCTCCACTTATCCCAGTTGAACAAATCCGTCACTTAGGACTCCTAGGTCGCTGTAGGACCAACGACTCACATGGAATCCTCATACAATACTGAAACGACTAGAAACCACTCGACGTTTCTGACTACTGCAGCTCTTACTAGACAAACGCTCTAAGCTTTCAATCAATTACAAACGACTCAAGTATATGACAATAATAAGGCCTATTTGGACTTACGGAATTGAGCTTTGAAATTCCTCTCGTATATAATCCTTATAATCCAAAATCCTTCGTAAAAACCTCAACGCTCCTTACTTTGTCACAAATAAAATCATCCATAATAGACCTTATGTTCCATATGTTTCCGATTTGGCCCAATCCAGATACCTATCCTTCCATAACAAACTTCAGAACCATCCGAACCCTCTCGTTTCAAACCTTGCTTCCTTCTCGATCCCTGATAACCCTCCGAGGCTTCTGAAAAGAAGGTGGCCTCGTGATCTTCTTGTGTAAATTTATTATTTGAGTGCTACCAGTGGGTAGTTTCTCAACAAGAGATTTCATGTTATTATATTCCTGAGTGCACATTTACTAGATGTATTTTTTTTTATGTTTTTAAATATCAATGAATAAAAAAACAAAACTTTGTCTGCGAAATCTCGGAATCAACACATATAATTATTATTGTCCTACCAACGGTTGAAGATAAGATAGAATTAGATAAAATAATACATATACTTGAATTTTAATGCTTAGCAACTATTTCACATACGATTTTTTCGTAGTATGAAGATGTAAAGAATTAGTTAGGCAAACCACCATAAAATTGTGAGGTAAATTTTTTTTTTTCTTTTTCGAATTTAGCTATTATTGAGCAATGATATCTCAGAAACTATACGAGATAGTGAAAGGATGAATATCTTCAGTTTTGATGTAAATTGCATCAGCTTTAATTTTGTATAGAACGTCTTTATCGCTAGGGCGCATGGTTTCCCTGATGTAAGTAACCAACAAAAACAGTGATCTGATGGGTGCCCATTTGGCTCACCATCTAGGTATGTGTCTTTTTGTAAGTTTACCTCCTTACTAGGCCAAACTAAGACGCAATACTGTTGTTACTTTTGTTCGTGGTGCGTATATAAATCGTTCTACAGCGTAATTTTGTACACTGCGGTGTTGGTAAGGCAAGCCGCTCATAGTTTTGCCCAAGACGAAGGGTGCTGGTTTTTTGGATATCTTCGCATGTTCAGCAGCACTGCATTATCTCATCATGTTGCCCTGCCGGGATCATGTATCGTTGTTTCGTTTGTAGACTTTTATAATTTAACCACTATGTAGACCACAACGGTCGTGAAAAGGTACTGTATATTCCCTTCTAACAACTTCAGCTGATAGGGACCGACAACTGGGGGATTGAGTCCCCCAGTCGTGGTGCGGGCTCAGCCCTCCAACAAATTGCTCTGTATGAACTTCAAAACATGTTTTTAATGGTTATTCACTTAAGTAGAGACAGCTTAAAATTTCACCAGATGTATAATGAATTTTCGGAAGTGGTGTAAAAGTCATAACTTTTTATGACAAGAAGGAATTTCAATTAAAGCAAAATTAGGATTCAAAATCTTATACAGAAGGCTGAAATACAGCATTTACAAGTCGAATTCAACCTTTATCATTTCAATTCAACTTTTCAATTTTTTAAAAAGTAATTTTTAATATCACTCACTATATTGCCAAAGGCGTAGTTTTTGAAAAATACTATAAATGTTATGATTACGCGGTCGCATATCAATTTATTATTACTTTTTAGATTTTTTCGGTATAGTATTTCAAGTCAAATTCAACTATTTCTAAGAGAAATACAACTTTTTTCATTTCAAATTAAATTTTCCAATATAAGCATCTATTATTATGCTCACGTAAGCACTAGCGGATCCAGGATTTAATTTGGGGGGAGGGGGGAGAGCTTCAGCTCGAAATCTTTTTTTTAAATATACATAACGATTATTACTTTAGAAGAAAAATAAAGATCCTAATTACCTATACGAAATGGTGTTTAAGAGATTCTTGAATTCCCATTAAATATAAGTACACTAACAATAATAGTTTTTTTATATTTTTTTCATATGATCACTAGCAGATCCAGCTGAGGGACGTCCCCTCCTCCCCCTTGCAAGCTGGAAAAAAAATCAAAAAAAGTTCTAAAAGCAGCTATTTAAAAAAAAAGAGAAATATAGGGAAAATTCATCCTCATAGAAGAATTTCCTAAAGTAAAATAATAAAAAAAATTATTATCGTGACCAGCACCAGCAAATTCTGCTAATTGGCCTTGGATGGTGGAAAACAAATTCCGAAAAAAAGTTCTGAAAACACCTATTTACAGAAAAGAGTAATATGGGAAAAATTCATCCTCTAAGACGAATTTTTTAATGTGATCATAATCATCATCCCGAGCTCGACAATCCATTACTGGATCTTGGCTGCTTCAAAAGTTTTCCTCCATGTTTCCCTGGCCTGAGCAGCCTCCGCCAGTTTCTGATTCCTACGATTCTGCCATCAGCACTTACTCCATCCTTCTATCTCAGTTTCGGTCTGGCCACTTTTCTTTTTGCATCCGCTTCATACTCAGCAGCTGCTTTGGGATTGAGGTCTCGTCCATCCGTACAACTTGGCCCTCCCATCTCAGCCTTGCTATCCGGGCATATTTCATCGCATCCGGCTCCTTGTATAAGTTGGCTAGTTCTTGGTTGCGTCTAATTCTCCATTCATAATTCTCCTTAACTTGGCTAAATATCTTTCGAAAGACTTTAC